TGCATTCGAAACAATTACCTTTAACGGGCTATTAGGAGCCGATGAACCCTTGTGACTAGCAGAAATGAGGGTAATTGACCAGCATAGTGACGTACTGAGACAATAACTGCTTCCTTGAAATGTACTACCGCATTAATAAGAAGGACGTCGGTATACCCGGTGTTGTCGTTTGCAGAAGTGTCCTAAATGTGACAATGGACAAAAGCAGATATGACTTGGAGTTAGATAATTAAGTCGCCGACAGGATTTCTACCTGATAACGACGACGTCTGTTGCGGATGCAGGTCCGAGGTTACAGGCCATAGTTTGGAATACGGGCAATTGATGGGATAAATCGGTCCCTCTCGGAAGTGAATCACAAGCTTCAGTGGTCCCTTTTAAACATGAACAAGTTTTTCTTCAGTATCAGAGTAGTTACAAACTGGGACGGTCTGCGCACGGATGTTTTCCTCTTCTCCTGTGTTGATTCGTTGAAGTGCAAAATCGACATGCATCAAAATACCCACCTACCAGCCCAACACACCAACATACTTGAATATTCTTATTTTACTCGCAATTGGTGAGTAGACATTTGTGTTAGCACTTTTTCGACTGGCAGATTACAGCTTTATTTGTTAACGTGGTAATGTGAAGAAGCTCCTTTGTCAGTTCTATTTATTTATCAGTGCTTTTGCTCTGACATCTCGCTTGTATTTCCGTTAGTGAAGCTGTATGGAATTGAAATGTTTGGTAATGCCCCCCCCTTAGTGCGAGATGCCGGGCCCCATTCATTCATCTGCTGAGAAAGGAGATGCCGCGTAATTCACCACTGTACATTTTCGGGGACAGTGGTCAACAACCTACTCACCTTGTAGGAATTCCTTGAAGGTCAAACTCAAGCCAAACATGAGGGCCGGTTTCACTTAAAGTCTTGTTTAATAAGACTCTACTCGCTTGATCAATCACCGTACTTTGAGGAAACTAGCAAAACTATGCCAAGTTAGGTAAGGTAGGGTGGCTTGAATTTGAAATTCGTACGATTCAGAAAGTGCCGACGATTCTGCTGTTAAGAATAATGCCTAATCTAACCAGACCCAACGATGTCAGGGATTGTACCTTTCCACGCGTATTGATCCGCGACAGCAGACCTAGGCCGTTCAACCCATTACCTTTGTAACTACAGGCCTTCTATATCTTGAAGAATTGTGTAGAGACAGGTTTTTAGCTGACGCACCCTCCACCTTCAAGGCCTCCAATTGGGTAACAGTTCCGGATCGAGGGCAGTAAAAGTGAGCTCGTGAGGTTGACGAAGAATAACGTGTCCAGATCACCTAAGTCATCTTTACTGGCTGACCTGAGGTACTGTTGCCATTTTGTAGGGATAGGTGTAGACTGCCTCATATGAGACATATTCAGTGAACTTTACTCAAGGAATATTCCTCAAACAGTGATAACAAAATACCTCCAGTTTTCGTTCATTTTCCAGGTGCACAGCAAAGCATTCACAGCCTTTTAGGTAAACATGCCGAACAGATGCCCTGTAGACGCGGATAGTCGTGACGGGGAGATATTGTAGGGGTCTAAGTAGTGCGTGTACTCGGATCACTACAATCATCAGTCCAAATCCCAGGTTGGACGTTAAAAGGCAGAAGTCACCAAAAGGAGCTGCTTATTGCGTACAGAACTCTCTGTTGCTGTCTTAGGCGGCAGTGGCCACTGGCGAAGCCAGGGTTAGTGTTGAGGGCGTCCAGCCAGATCTGAGAGAGCATGATACAGTGGTGACAGCTACTTGAGTAGGGTTGTGAGGCGAGTTCAAGTGTTCTGTTATTGGTGTGTTGCAATTGTCCGAGGGGATGTCGCCTGCAAAGGCCCTCTGCTGCATGGCCGCGGCTGGGCGTGTTCGAGTGACACTTGAGAACTCGCGACTAGCTGGGCACGCGTATACGTGGGTGTGTGCGCGGGTGTGGAGCACGTGTGTGAGTGAGTGAATATCGGTCAAGTGGTCTTCAGGTCAGCAAGTGGGAACAATCGCCTTTGAAGAAAAATGACGTTGGGGGCCGCAGGTATTGCAGAATGAAGGAGGGAACAGTCATTGTGGCCGTCCGCCACAATATTACGTTGATTTCATAAACACTTTCTAAGGGCTGAGAAAACCCCCTGCGAACTCGATTGATTCGGAAAACAGTTAAGCCCTTACTTTTTCCATTCGGCAACCCCCTCGCCTCGAATCTTCATGGCGATGGTAATGTCACGTCGGCTCCATAGGCCCTCACAGGGTATGCTTTCCAATATTTTAAGGGAGGTCATACAATATAGGGTTTATATATAGTATTTGCAGATTGTTTACTGACAAATAGTTACTTACGCAGCCACTGTGCTTGTCTGCGCAATTTGAACTGCCTCCTGCTCGGCGGGCTAGAACGTTGAATAAAAAGAGGAAAAAAAGCAATTACAGCAAATCGTGTTATCCATTAAATCTCATGAAAAATTTCAACTAAACGATCATATAAATAAGCTTAAACACTACGGTCGCTATGCTCATGATACCTTTGCCATGACTGAAACAAAAACCGATGTGGAAGTACTCTTAAATGCTGTCAATTAAGTCCATCCATCCACTAAGTTCTATTTGGAGGTGGAACCGGCAGGTTCACTTCCTTTCTTAGACATTCTCCTGAGTCCTAAGCAGCGTTTATCAAAATAAAACCTGGTTTGGACAATATGTAAGTTTTAGTAGTTTCGTAGCTATCCAACGGAAATGTACTTTAGTCCGCTGCTTAACGCAAGGGGCTAGAAAAACTGGCTCGACAGACACTATTGACATGGAGATCAAGAAAACCCAGGACCTGCTTCCTGAGAACAGGGATCCTGGGAGATTCATTACAAATAATATGGTGTGGAGACAAATAGAACCAACCATAACTTCTGTGGAAAAGAAGAAACTATTCCTCAAAGTCCCCTTTCAAGGGGATACGACAAATGAAGACGCCTTGACCAAACCGTGTCACGAACCTTCCCAGCAGCCAGAGTACGTGTATTATTCTCAACCAGCCAGGTCTTCAGGAGGAAGGTAAAGATAGGTCGCCAGCTCAGACCACATCTAGGTACCTTTACTAGTTTGCTTGCTCCTGTGGAGCAGGTTATATTGGTCGCACGAGTCAGTGCTTATCCAGAAGGATATGGTAACACCTCCCGGCATGGCTGAGAAAAGTTGAACTTAGGAACATAAACAACACCATTCTCGCGCACATGGTTGATTCCGGACATCGGGTGGCCCTAAACGAAGCCTTCTGAGGGATCTGCGAAGTCTCACCAAACTATCCAAAGTCCATGGGCCAGTGCCTGCTAGCAGCAGCAGAAGCGAAAAGAGGTCTTGTTTGCACAAAAGAACATCCTGTAAACTCCACAACTGGCATAGCCAACGCTCGCTTAATTGCACGACTCACATGTAGGAAAAAACGAACATTATTGACCGAACATTTTAACTTTGCTCCTTTTCCATAAAAATGGACTGGCCGATGAGCATTTATCGAAAACTATCTATCTATTTTTTAATGTCACGTCCCTATTTACTCCTATTCCACAGGACCTGGCAGTCAAGACAATCCAATTACTCCTTCGAAACAGATACGATTAAACTGAGAATCACCTCGGGCATGCCCAAATGCTCCAGATCCGAAATTTCTATCTCAAGATGTACTTGACCGCCAACGGAACCATCTACGAGCAGGTAAAAAGCACGCTCATGTGTTTGCCTATTTCCAGACTCATAACCGAGGCGGTCTTGCAGCGATTGTATTCGCTGGTTTTCCGACACTTTAAACCGAAATTCTGGACTCGGCATGTGGACGACACCTTCGTCGTAATTGAGCAGGGTCAGGTGCTGACATTCAAGGCATGTCTAAACGCCGTCTTCCCTGACATTAAATTTACGATGGAGGAAGAAGAAAACAAACAAATAGCCCTCCCGGATGTCCTCGTTTGCCGCAAAGACGGTGGTGGCCTAAAAACTAAAGTGTTCAGGAAAGCGACCAACACAAGGCAAGTCCTGAACTTCAACAGCAATCACCCACTCAATCACAAACGCAGCTGCGTAAGAGCGCTATACCAGCGCGTTGAGACGCATTGCAGTGAAGTGGAAGACAAAGATGCTGAATAACAATATCTTTGACGGGTACTGAGAGCGAATGGTTAGCCGCGCAATTTTATCCACCAGTGCGTACGCAGACGAGAGAATCAACCACATCCAACTGGCCCAAAAGTTTTGCGAGCTCCTCCGTACGTGAAGCATGCATCGGAAGCAGTCAGCAGCCTGCTCACCCCACTTGGAGTTTGATTTGCGCACGGGTCAGAAGCAACCATCAGGCGCCGGGTCATGAGACCAAAAAGCCCACTGCCAGGTCAGCAAACGGCTGGAGTCGTTTACCGGATCTGGTGCAGTTGTGGACAAAGCAACTACGTTAGAGAACCCAGAAGATTACTCCGGACACGCAGCGGCGGTGAGGAAGAATGACGCGAACTCATGTGTTGCAGTTCACTCAACGGGACCTGGCCATATTTTCAAGTTTAACGAGGCCGAAAGCTTCGCAATAGGTGACAAGCGCGTAAGCCGCGAGCTGCTCAAGTCATGGTTCGCAGGCCCCCCAGTCCATCAACAAGCGCAACGATTTGGCGTTCCCATACTGCGTACTGAGACATTGCCTGAGCAACAGAATCAGTCATGTGGGAGGGGCCGGGCCCAGCAACAACTCTGACGACAACGAGCATAATTCTCGCGCTATTATTAAGCCCGCATCCGACATGGACAACGAAATCGCGGCAAGTAATGAGTCGAAAGCAAAGTATCAAGCTATCACCGCACCAATTAAGACCTCAAACGGTGGTCAGGTGGTGTGGTTAAACAACTGCTCGACACCTCAGATATCGATTAAACCTCTCTGGGCTTAGTCCTTCCTGAATGAATGAGAACGTTCGCGTTCCAGGTATTTGCATGCTTGAGGAAGAACGAAGGCCGAGCACCGGATCAAGTTGTTTATTATTCTGAGCTTTCGGGCTCTTGCGGGA